ATGTATTTGAGTAATTGCTGCTAATCTAATTTTGTTACCTGTATAAAAGACACCTGTCCACAGGAGCAATCAAACAATCAGATTCCAAACTCTCCACCATGGCAAAGACCAAAGAGCTGTCCAAGGATGTCAGGGACAAGATTGTAGACCTACACAAGGCTGGACTGGGCTACCAAAGTATCACCAAGCAGCTTGGTGAGAAGGTGACAACAGTTGGTGCAATAATTCGCAAATGGAAGAAACCCAACACAACTGTCAGTCTCCCTAGGTCTGGTTCTCCATGCAAGATCTCACCTCGTGGAGTGTCAATGATCATGAGAACAGTGAGGAATCATCCCAGAAGTACACGTGAGGATCTTGTCAATGATCTCCAGGCAGCAGGGACCACAGTCACCAAGAAAACAATTGGTAACACACTACGCCTACAAGGATTGAAATCCTGCAGTGCCCGCAAGGTCCCTCTGCTCAAGAAAGCACATGTCCAGGCCCATCAGAAGTTTGCCACTGAGCATCTGAATGATGCGGAGAAGGACTGGTTGAAAGTGTTGTGGTGAGATGAGATCAAAATCAAGCTCTTTGGCATCAACTCAAATTGCTTGGAGGAGGACGAATGCTGCCTATGACCCCAAGAACACCATCCTGTCAAACATGGTGGTGGAAACATTCTGCTTTTGGGGTGTTTTTCTGCTAAGGGGACAGGACAACTGCACCGCATCAAAGAGACAATGGACGTGGCAATGTACCATCAAATCTTGGTTGAGAACCTTCTTCCCTCAGCCAGGACATTGAAAATGGGTCGTGGATGGGTGTTCCAGCATGACAATCACCCAAAACACATGGTCAAAGCAACAAAGGAGTGGCTCAAGATGAAGCACATTAAGGTCCTGGAGTGGATTAGCCAGTCTCCAGACCTTAATCCAGTTGAAAATCTGTGGAGGGAGCTGAAAGTTTGAGTTGCCAAACGTCAGCCACCAAACCTTAATGACTTGGAGAGGATCTGCCAAGAGGAGTGGGCCAAAATCCCTCCTGAAATGTGTGCAAACCTGGTGGCCAACTACAGGAAATGTCTGACCTCTGTGATTGCCAACAAGGGATTTGCCACCAAGTACTAAGTCATGTTTTGTGAAGGGGATCAAATACTTATGTATTAAATGGTTATGTGTGTGGACATGCTGTGAGACAATTGTGCAGAGTAAATATACAACAATTCCCGCATCGTCCCAGTGTATGAGGAGAGGGGGACTCTGCAGAGAAAGTGAGAATTCATACAAGAGTTCTATAGGCCACACAGAGAGAGTGCCAGCCTGTGCTGTGCCTGCACTGGCCCTGTGTATGAAATAAAGGGGAATTTTTTTAAAATTGCTCTGATTTAAAATGAAATAGTTTCAGGGTGTTAAAAGTAATTAATCTGCTTTACTTACAAAATAAGAATCCATTAACTGTTCAGAATTCTCCAGTCATGTTACCTACTCTGTCTTTTGGGGTGAGTATGCATCTAAAAATAATCTGGAAGATGGTAGGAAATCTATCAATGACTTTTTCTGATATTGTATCTGGCAACAAACCCTTGTCCCTCAATGGCCTTTGGGTTAAATTTCAGCTTACTCCATCATAGACATTTGTTCACCTACTGTAAATATATGCAATGATATACAGGTACTTCTTAGACCTGACTGACCACCCAACTTTTTAAGATTTATTCAGGAAAGACTCTGTCTCTGAAAGATTGATAGCTCTTACATTTTCACTTCTCCCAGACCAAAGAAGATGTCTTTTTTCACATGGCTTTCTGCGAGACAGATTTGGGAATGGCAATCTAAAAGCCCCAAAGTAATTTATTAAAGGAAAGCTGATTATTAAATTATATGTAACAGTTATATGACTCCTGTTATGTTCTAAAAAAAAATCTGTTTCCCTCTCAAGTGGGGGAAGGGGAAACATTTACCGTTGCTGGTGGACATGCTCAGCAGCTCTTGAATTTTGGAGCATGGTCTTAAATATAAGGTGTTTGATGCCAGTATCCCTATGGACCCCAATGTCTTTTTATCGAGCTTATCCTCTACTTGAATATGGCATAAAGTTATGAAGGCATATTTTGTTAGCAGCAAGTATTCTGTTGGTTTCTAAAGGAAAGCAATGGAAATATAACTAAAGGCAAAACCTTTTTATTTAAATTTTGGAAAGAGTGGAGAGGAATTAAAACACCTATTAGGTTGTTTTGCAATCTGTGCCCCCATTAGGGAGATTCGCTCGCTATTTGTCCAGTTTACCATTATTATCGAAAGTGAAAGTAAAGAAAACCCCACATTTTGGGTTGTCCCAAGAAAAACATTAAAGGGGAAATCTTCCAATGGACACACTAGTTCTGGTGACCTGGGTATCCCCAAGTAGTTATCTTAATTTGCTGGGATTATCTCCAGGGGCGGACTGACAACTCATGGGGCCCCCGGGCAATAGGGGATCATGGGGCCCCTGTGTCCTTGCCCAAACTCAAAAAAGCCTATGAAAAAGGTACCAGGGGCATCTCATGGGGCCCCCTACTGACCCAGGGCCCTCGGGCAGTGCCCGAGTTTCCAAATGGTCAGTCCGCCCCTGATTATCTCTCACTTCCTGTTTTGGCTGTGGGACAGGAAGTGAAGGTAAATCTCCCCAATGGAACAAAGATGGAAAAAATAAAGCAACAGGTGTTTTAACCCCCCCTTACTCTATCCAAAATGAAAAAAAAAAGTTTTGCCTATAGTTCTACCTTTACTTTCCCTTGTATACCCAAATAAAGTGACTTCAATTTTTTAAGCTGTATGCTGTAAAGAAGTTAGACTATACTAAAGAATACCTTCTCTGGTAGGTGGTGAGTCCTGTCTTCACTCTCTTGAAGAGCTACAGGGCCCAAATAACCTTATTCTTAATGTGCTGGATTCCTTTTTCCCTTCTGTCCATTGTGGTCCCATGTTTCAACCCCTACATCATTACAGGACACTGCAGCATACAGAGAACCAGCCATCCAACACACCTGTGTCTGTGATCGCTGTTACTTCTAAAGAGAGCAAGGGTTCTGTTGGCATCTAAAGGAAAGCAGTTAGTTTTCCCTTATAAACTCAATTAAAGTGACTGTGTTTTTTAAAGATACATGTTACAAAGAAGATCAAGAATACCTAACTCCCTGGTGGATGGTGAGTCCTGTCTTTATTTTCTTGAAGAACTATAGCATTTCAAGAATCTTTTGCATCCAACTCGCTTCTTGGTGTGTTAGATGTCTTTTTCACATGCTGTGGTCCCATCCTTCAACCTCCTACGTCACAACAGGACTCAGTAGTGAGGACTATGAAACCAGCTTGCTGGGAACTGGACATCCAACACACCAGGAAGAGTGTCTGTCTTTGGTTGCTGTTACTCCAAAAGAAAGCAAAGACAGGACTCAACACCTGCCAGAGAGGTAAGTATTCTTTTATGTTTCTTTTCAAAGAAATGTTTCTTTCCAAACAATCCTGCACATTTCTGACTTCCTTATCTGATTGGTCATCTGTGTATTTATATTCACTTTCTTCTGTTTATTTTTAATGTTTAGTATTTTATATTTTGAAAAGCATGGCATTGTGCAAGATGGTTTGCACAATAAACTGCAAAAATAAAAATATCATATATTGAAATTATCTTTAGCGCAGTTAATAAAACATAGTAGCTATCTGGAATAGTGTTTCCTACAAAGTCAACTGACCTGAGTAAACCCGAGAAAACAATTTACTTATCTGTAATCACCATAATGGATGGAGTGTTACTCCGCAGTGCTTGAAGGAGATGTACCTCATCAGTATAGCGCTCATCCTCCGAAATGCTCGATTCTCTTTTATTTATGTATTATTAACTGAAGTATTGCCAGTTGTTACACTGATTTCATCTGACTTTAAAACTAGCAGTCCCTGCCATTGAGTAATGCAGTTATCTCTCACTTCAGCTCAACTAGCGTAGCATTTTTCTACACAGGAACTAATGACATAAATTGTGTTCATTAAAAACATATTTTATATAACAGTTTAAAGGGTAAGACTATCAATTTCAATGGGTTCCTAAAGGTGAACTCCAAGCATGGATTAAAACTGGAATTGTAATTCTAAACACTTTTTTTCTTGATTAAAATTGGTTTCCCTTGGTTCTTTGCCATTCACTGTTTAAAAATGCTGCTGTGAGGGAGTGCAGAAATGGCTGCCACAATGCAACAAGTTACTTGCAAATTACAACTCTCCCCTATTCAAAACAACAGACCCATAATCTGGGAAATAATGGGTGTAGTAAATAGAATATAAAAATAGATAGAGTTCAGCCATACCTGGAACATAGCTGAAAAACCCATCACTCAGAGAAGTGCTGTAAATCAAACTTTGACTGTATTGCTGAGTAGATATAGAACAAATATGGAAACTGAGGCACCACACCACTGCCAAGAGGTCTAGACACATTTTTTATTCCAATAGAAGTTGGGGGGCCATCCAAAAAGTATCCAGCGCATTTGAAGGGTCCAAGAACATCCCATTCACCAGAGCTTGATTACAACAATGTGAATAGACTAAACGTGAACTGGACCTTTAATGTTATTTCTTCCAGTGTGTTTGCAAGCACCGGCCTTGTCAGCAGGTGGTTTGGGCTTCCAGGAATTGACTCTGGAATAAAGTTGTATCTGGACCTTTTAGCAATGGTGTGACACTTCAATTTCCATTTTTATTACATTACACTAAAAGCCAAGGAGACCATGGAAATCCTCTTGGATGTACAAATCTGCCTTCCTGGTAACCAGGTCATTAACATCAACATCAATACTTTAAGATAGCAATACCAGTGAGATACCCCATGGGTCCAGTGCTATTTTTCCAATTGTCTCATCTGAAGATTGGAATGTTGCTTGACTGTCACGTAGTTCTAAGCCTCCAGAGGGTGTGTCAGTTCCTGAACTGGGAAGACCAGAGGCCAAGTAAAGTCATTCAGTTAGACCAGCCTTTAAGTGTTACTAAACCCACAACAGTAAAATCAGTCTGTATATGCAGTAAAGCATGCTTGTTATACTCACTGTGGAACCTCAGGGGGTTAATCCTCTGCATTGTGTAAAAAGGCTGTTTGATCCTTTCTTCTCTGCCCCTCCTCTTGTTGAAATAACCACCTGATACAGACTGAATCCATGGTAACATACACATGCTCAGTTTGGTGTGTAGTTCTAGAAAGGTTTTTTTTTTTTTTTGGAGAGAGTGCATGTGATCAGTACAGGGCCAACCAGCACTGTCCAGACAGAGGGTCAGGGGGTTTCACATCCTCCTAGAGCAGCAAGAAAACTCCTCCTACAAGCTTTAACCAGTGCTCTGCTGAAGTCACAAGACTGCTCTAACTGCTGATGAGAAAAGGTATTTTTTTTTTTTTTATATTTAAATATTTATTAAATTTTTCATATTAATACAAATACCCAAAAAGGGAACCGATTCACATATAAATAGACATTTATAACATTTCTACATTTCCCCTTCTAAAAAAACTCTTTTCTTTCCCATCCCCCCCCCAGCCCTTCCCACCCCTCTCCCCCCCCCTCCTCCCCCTCTGCAGACTCTAACCCGTTCTAATCTCTCGAGGCTTATTAATTTTTAGCTAACATCCTAGTTCATAATTTCCTATATTTCTCTTTCAATCCTGCTTTTTCCCACTTTTTCCCATCTCATATAATAAACTCCCATGCTATCTTCCTGCATATGGTATGATCTTTCCATTCTACCTATCTGGTTTACTCTATTAATCCAGTCTTCCTCCTTCGGTACCTCAGTTTTCTGCCAAAACTTGGGTATCAACCCTTTCGCCGCATTTAAGAAGTACCAAACGCCTGAGTTTTTGTATTTATTTACAGATATCTCCACATTATGTAGGAGGCACGTCGTTGGGTCTAACCCTATGTCAATTTCAGTTATTTCTTCAATCAGTTTGACTATTACCTTCCAAAAAGCCTGGATTTTCGGACATTCCCACCATATGTGAAACACCGTGCCTATCTCTCCACATCCTCTCCAACACACTTTTGAATTTTCCCCATTCATCTTGTGCTCAACACTCGGTGTAATGTGCCATCGTGTCACACACTTATAATTAATCTCAATCTCTCTCATACTAACATTCTCGTGTATTAATCTAAACATCTTTCTCTGTTTGTCCTCGTCAAACCCAACTTCCATATCTCTTTCCCATTTTGTTATAAAACTTAACTTTGTGTTTGTGTCTAGTTCTGTGAGTATTCTATAGGTTTTTGAAATACCGTGCTTCCCATCCCTTTGTGTTTCTAACAGCCTTTCAAACATATTCCACTCCTGTTTTGATCTCAGGGGTTTCGGGAGATTTTCCAATAAAACATTTCAGTTGATGATATTTCCACTCATCTATTCTAATAAAGATATCTCCCTTCTTCTCTATTAATTCTTTAAGTGATCTCAATTCCCCCTCCACCAGAACATCTCTCAGTTGGGTATCCTCCTTTCTAAACCATCTCCCTGATATCTTATCCTTTCCCGGGGGAAAGTACTCAGTGTTTGTGAGGGGCATTAGTATAGAATTAAATTCCCATTTCATGTTTTTGTGCAAATTGTCCCATACCCTTAAAACATTTAAAGTGTAAATACTTGTGCTTTTCTTTAATTCCTCTAAACTGTGCTGGAACCCATATCATCTGACTCAATCTAATTCCACTAAGATCATTTTCAATTGTTGCCCAACTTTTCCCCTTATGGTTAAATGTCCAGTCGTATATTCTTGCTAAAACCACTGCTTTATAATATCTTTTGACATCTGGTAGACCCAATCCCCCTTTCTCTTTAGTCCTACTCAATGTTTCATATGCTATTCTGGGTTTTTTATTCTTCCATATGTATTTTGTTAAACATTTTTTTTTCATTATTTTAAAGAAGGGCCTCTGGGATTTTAATTGGTACCATTTGAAATCTATACAATATTTTTAGGCATAATTACCATTTTAACTAGGTTTATACGACCTATCCAGGATGGGTTTTCCTCCTTCTAGTCTTTTTAAATCTTCCCTGATCTCGTTTATCAAAGAAATATAGTTTAATCTATACAAGTACTTAGATGAGGCAGTGAGTTTTATTCCTAGGTATTTTATCTCTTTTTCTCTCCATACAAAGGGGAATTCTTTTTGTAGTTTTTCTTTTTCATTCTTTGATATATTAATATTCAAGATCTCTGTTTTCGTTGGATTAATTTTTAGGTTTTGATAGTTCACCGTACTCCTTCAGAATCTTCATTATACTTGGGAGAGTTATTCGGGGATTCCCCACATAGAACAATAAGTCGTCCGCAAAGGCCACCACTTTATGTTCTATAGTTTCTATCTGAATTCCCTTTACCGCTCCACTGTTCCTTATTATTGACAACAGAGGTTCGAGTGACAACACATATAGTAAAGGGGACAGTGGGCAACCCTGTCTTGTTCCATTAGACATTCCAATGGGTTCTGATCTCTCCCCATTTACCGTGATGATTGCAGTAGGCTCCCTATATAATTTACTTATCCACTCACGCATTCTATCACCTATACCCAGCACTTTTAAGTTGTCCATCATAAAGCCCCAGTCCACTCTATCAAATGCCTTCTCTGCGTCAATTGACAAGAGCACCACCGGGGCTTTCCCTTTTCTACTTTTCTGAATAAGCATCAGGGTTCTCAAGCCATTATCTCTACCCTCTCTCCCAGGTACGAAGCCCACCTGATCTCCATGGATCCATTCAGACATTAGATCTTTCAACCTGTTTGCTAAAACCTTTGCATACAGTTTGGTATCTGTGTTCAATAATGAAATAGGTCTATAGCTGGAGCACTGAGATGGGTCTTTTCCCTTACTACGTGGGCCTGTAAAGATTCTCTCCTCACTTCCATCCCACCTCCCAGAGCATTCATATACTTTTCCAGCTTGGGTAACAACACTTCACTAAATTTCTTATAGTACTTAACTGTATAGCCATCCGGGCCTGGGCTTTCCCCCCCCCCCCCCCTGTGCTTCTTAATGCTGTTTTAATTTCTTCCTGGGAAATTTCCACTTCCAAGGAGTTCAACTGAGCTTCACTTAGTTTTGGTAATCCCGCGTTTTTTAAATATATCAACTTTTTTTCGTTGATTCCCTCTTGAGCTTCTTTTAGAGGACCTTGGGGACTAATATATATATAGCTTTCTGTAATACTCCGTAAACACTTTAATAATCTCTTTAGTTGAGTGGGCCAACTCCCCCTTAGGACTTTTTATCTTTTCTATATAGTTCCTATTTTTCTTTTTATTCAAAGCTCTCATTAGATATTTTCCTGGTCTATCTCCCCATCTATATCTCTCATTTAAAACCCTGTTGTATAATCTTCTCTTCTCCTCATCCATCAACCTCTCTAGCTCTTCTTTTTTATCCATTAACTTCTGTCTTGTATCTTTTGTTATTTTCTTTTTATGGATCTGCTCCAGGTCCAGTATTTCTTTTAGAAGCCCACTGACCCTCTCTCTTCTTCTTTCTTTTTTCTTCCTTGCTCCTGCCGCAATCAAGATTCCTCTTATAAATACCTTGTGGCTTTCCCAGACTGTAGCTTCGATACTTCCTCTGTTTCTTTCTCCTTAAAATATACCTTAATCTCTTTCTCGATTTTCTGACTAAGTCCTCATCCAGAAAGAAGAGCCTCATTTAACCTCCACCCTAATCCTCCAGTCCACCTTCTTCCCCATCCCATTTTCATTACAACCGGGGCATGATCCGAGAACGTTCTTGTCTCTATATCGATTTTAACCAGATGTTCTATAAATTGATGGTCTATTAAGATGTAATCTAATCTCGAGTATATCTCGTGTGCGTTAGAGAAGAAGGTATAGTCTCTGTCTTTCATATGCATTATTCTCCAGATGTCCACTAGTTGATATTCATGCATCACTTTTTTCAAAGCTCTCAGAGACCTACTCCCCTCTCTTTGCACAGAGGAGGTATTATCCTTTTGTGGGTCCATACAGAAATTTAAGTCTCCTGCAACTATCAAACGCCCTTTTTTAAACTCCATTAATTTTTTCAACAGACCCTTCATATACATCTCCGGGTTTTTATTAGGGCAGTATATATTGGCTAAAGTACACTCAATCCCCTGAAGTTTACCTTTTAAGAATAAAAATCTCCCCTCCGGATCGGTTCTTCTGTCCTCTAGCTCAAATCTCATATTCTTTGCCAAACCTATTGCAACCCCTTTTGCTCTTTTAATTGGAGAGTCTGCATAATACCATATTGGATAATATTTAGATTTCAATTTCACATTTGCCTCTATCTCAAAATGCGTCTCCTGTAAAAATACCACTGACGTTGCCCTATGATGTAACTCCTTAAACAACTTAAATCTCTTCCCCGGACAACTCAACCCGTTCACATTATAGGTTATAAACTGTATTTCTTCCATCCTTCCCAATTCGCTCCATCGCTCTTCCAAATTGCCTCTTCCTCTTTATCCCTTCTGTCCTGCAGAGTATTAACCCAATACCTCCACCCCTCCCTCCCTCCAACCCAACTCCCATCCCCCCCCCTCCCCCCATCCCTCGATCTTTTTTTCCCCCCTACCCATATTTAGGCTTTGAATACTGCCTATAAATCATTTGTGGATCTATTTCCACCACTGATTTGATGCTTTGGGCGTAAGCTCCACCCATGGCCGGCTAACCTCTCCTTCGACCTCCCCAGATCCCCTCTCTCTATCCACAGAATAATACAAGAATCTCTACTTCCCCCCTCACCCGAAGCTCCCAAGGGACCACCACTTCAACAAAGGTAGGGCCTGGGGGGTCAAGAGAGAAAAAAAAAAAAAAATAAAAAAAATAAATATTTTTCTTAATTTTCCCTCCCCTCTCTCCCCACCCCCGGGCCTCCTCTCCCCCGGACCCGCTGCCAGTCCTCTTTTCTTGTATCTTCTGTTTCCCTTCTTCTTTCTTTTTCTTCTTCTTCCCACCCCACTATCGCCATTCTTTGCAGTTTCAGTCTGTCACAGAAATCCCTCAGTTCCTCCGGGTATCTCAAATATGCTGTTACGCCATTTTTCCAGCCAATTAAACAAGCTGGGGTACCCCATCTATACTGAACGTTCTGTTTTCTCATTTGTTCCAACAAGGGTCTCAGGAATCTCCTTCTCCATAGGGTCTCTGGTGTTAGGTCCGCATAAATTTGGATATTTAAGTCTCCATACTTAATTAATGATCTTCCTTTAATCTTCCTCCATATCTCATCTTTGACCCCAATTTTTGGAACTGGACCACTGTATCTCTTGATCTTTCCTTCTCCGCAGCTTGATTAAACTTTCCTATTCTAAACACTCCATCCAATTTAATCCCGTCTGTTTCAGGTCTGTCTCTTATGGAGTTTAGAATTTTTACAACTAGGTCATATAGTGATTCCCCTTTTACTTGCTCTGGAATTCCTCGGACTCTAAGGTTGCATCTTCTTTCCTTATTTTCTTGAACTTCAATCCTATAGAGCAATTTTTTCTGGGTATTCTCCAAGTAAGTTATTTTTTTCTCTAGATTATCTATGGTTTGAGCCTGGTTTTTAACTTTTTCCTCTGTTTCTTCCACTCTCGATAGCAAATGTCCTAGATCATTCCGCACAACTGTCATTTCTTGCTTTATCATTTTTTCCAAATTTTGAAACATTTCTATCATCTCCTTTTTATTTGGTGCTTGTAGTTCACTGTCTAATTCTTTTTTTTCCAGGCCCTCTGTTGTTAGGTGGCTGCAGCTACTATTCATACCCATTGATAATCTAGGACTGTTTCCCAGAGAAATGTCCATTTCCCCTTTTGCGCTTGCACCTTGGGCCCTTTCTGGCGTAATGTTTCCTTGCGACGTAAATTTCTTTATCGTACCTGTTTGAGACCCTTTGGGCCCTGTTCCCTTAGGACCTTTGTTCTTCATTTCCTCTAAATCTCTGATTTCTTCTCTTATTCTCAAGATAAAATTATATCAGTCCTTTAATTTGTACACCAGACCAAGCCTGCTGTTTTCCCTTATATTTTTACTCTCCTCGGACACCTGGAGCTCTTCTCATCTTCTCTTTCTTAGCCCAGGGATCCTCCCCTCCTCTCCTTCACCCCTAGATTTCCCATATCACTTGGGGTTCCCCCATACGATAAGCCCCCAGCAGCTCTCACTCACCCTTCTTCTTCTCCAAGCAGTGGCTCCGAGCTTAAGGGATAGGGCTTTCACCGCAGCTCAGTCCAAGGGGGGATTCCTCTGGGTTTCACTCCTCTCCTCGTGTCCTTTGTCCAAGATCATCCCAAGAAAGAAGGGTAGCTCTCTTCACCTATTGGGTCACTCAGACCCAGGGTCCTTTCCTCAAGAGTCCTCCACAGCCGGGCCCCCACTCCCAACAACTTCACTCCTCTTCCAATCCTGTAATGCAGGGGGGAGCCGGCGTGTCACTGCCGCTCTGACAGGGAACCGGCCGGCGTCTCTGCCTCCCAGTAATGCTTCCAGTCCTGTAATGCAGGGGGGAGCCGGCGTGTCACTGCCGCTCTGACAGGGAACCGGCCAGCGTCTCTGCCTCCCAGTAATGCTTTGCGGCGAGCGGCGAGCTCATTCTGCCCTGCTTCGATTCCCGGCAACCCGACAGCTGCACTGGAATCTCCGCAGCATGTTCTCCTCCCGGAGGTCCGTGCCCGCTCTCCTCTCCCTTCACCGCACCAGTCTCTCCCCGCTTGGAGCCCTCCTCAGTCAAGTAGGGCTTCTCTTCATGAGGGTCTCGGGAGGGTCGGTTTGGAGGTTATCGGAGAGCACTCACATCTTGCTCTCCGTCGCCACCATGTTTAGGCTCCACCCAACTGAGAGAAAAGGTATTTAGCAGTTTATATTTACTAAAAGAATTGTGTTTCCATGTTCTGTCAACTGTGGGAGACCAGATATAGTGAAGGCAGGGTCCTGGGTTTAGTAACACTTTAATCAAACTTTATACCACAGTAGAACCCTCTTTCCTCCATTATTCCCTGCTTAAGGAGCCCCTATCAACTCCTGGGTTTCACAGAATTCTGTGGTGTCACAGAATTCTAGTTGCTAAAGGCGAGGTTAGAGCTTAAGAAGGAAGGGAACCATCAGTAGTCCAAAACTTTTAGTGATCTCTCTAAAAATTAACAACACAAATAAAAGACTGTCCTACCCAATATTGCCAGTGTTGCACCACTGCACCCATGACATTTTTACTGAGCTCAGAATTCAGATTTAAATCTTTGGCATTGGATACCAGATTTCACAGCTATGCTACAGATTCTTGCTTCTCTTGCAGTCTCCATAATGAAAATCGTAATATAGGTTGAAAAAAGACGTGCCTGTAGAGGCAAAAAGAAAAAAAAGATAAACAAATTTATTGCTTTTCATTGTGCTGCATGCCGAAATTTTCTCTGGTTAAAGCTTGAAATGAAAAGGTGCATGCTGCAGTGAAAAGATATAATATAAACGATAAAGTATGAAATGTCGCAAAAAATATATTAAAGCGACCAATCACCAAATTAAAGGATGTGCCTGTAAGGCAAAATGTATATACCTGTCCTGCCACCCATGTTCCATTAAAGTGCAAGAGTTTTAAACAATCCTTACATCTACAAAAACCTCAGTTTATCCACAGTATTGTAAACAGTCATTTTAAGGATACTTTTTAAAAATTGGCCTTTAAAGGGAACCTAGGCTGTCATTACTGATCTGGAAATGTGCTAGTTGCCTGGCTGTCAGCATGAGTTTTGCAACATATTTTTTTAAGAATCTGAATAAAGTTCTACTAATTTGAATATAGACGGACAACTTTTCTGCAAGTTGTTGCAATGCACCATATTACTTGTTTATTATTATTTTGTTGGGTTGAGAAGCAGAAAAGCCATTCTTCGTAGCTGAAAGATGTTGATGCTTGATGTCCACCAGTGAAGATGATGTCACAGCAGTTATGCAATTTTTTGTCAAAAGCCTAAAAACCCTTTCAAAAACCTTGCAGTATTTTTATGGAATGTTGATCTGTTAACTGACTGTGGCTTTTTTTTTTTTTGTCTGTTCTAACAGAAAGTAACCTACTTACTAAACTCTACCGAAAAGAAGAAACCATTCAAGTGGTGGGAAATGGTTGTATAAGCAGTCCCCGCTTTCCTAGCAGTTACCCACGAAACTTGCTCCTGACATGGATTCTGGACTCTGCAGAAAACACGAGGATACAACTCACATTCGATAGCCAGTTTGGATTAGAAGAACAAGAAAATGATGTTTGCCGGTGAGTGAACGTCCAATTTGGAAGCTTGGTATACCCACAGTTGACATTTCTGTGTAGCATGCTTGCTAGCTAGCTGAAATCAAATCTTGGCTTCATGGCATCCAGAAAAAACTCAAGGAGAACATACAAACTAGATGTCACTGGAGAGAATTGAACCCAGTGTCCAAGTGTTGCAAAGTTAATATGTTATGCATTCATTTGTAGTTTTTCATTAGTGCACTTTTTGCTGGTCTGCGGCAATCAAATGTTCGTCACGTTAAGTTGAATTGCTCTGCCAGGCTAAGCAATTAGTTAATGAGCTGGAAATGGGTCCTGTGGGCCAACTATTGTTTTATTCTCTCTTTGAAGAGCAAGCAGTTCCTCCTTCCAACAGTGCTCTTAAAGTGTGCTGGTCCCTCCACTCATCAGTGCTAACTCCAAGTTAGTGAGTGAATGGAGCAGTGAGTATGTTTTATAACAGGGGTCTCCAAACTGTGGCCCATAGGCCAGATCTGGCCCTCCACAAGATTTTATATGGCCCTCTGATGTAAGAGGGGAGTTGGATTCAGATTCTTATGTAAGGGGGACTCTGATGTAAAGTGAACTGTGATGGGGATTCTGATGTAAGGAGGGCTCTAATGGGCTCAAGTTTATTCAAAATTTCCTTGGTTTTCTTTTACTAAAGTTTTTGTAATGCTCTTCTAAATTTTATCAATCCAATTATGAAAAAACTTAGCAAAATGTAATAATTTTAAATGTACTCTTTAATTTATAAAACTGATTTTATATGGCCCCCAAAAAATTTGTAGAATATACAATGTGGCCCTTAAAAAGTTTGCAGGGTTTATGGGATAACCTTAAGCTGGCCATATGCCAGTAGATTTTCATATGAATTTTTAATCAATACCAATGATATGAGGAATGCCATTCAAAAGGACTTTAAAAAAAAGTTTGCTTTTAGCATTTGATTTTGGAGTGAATGGACTTGCCCGGACCGCATTCGCTGTTTGAAATGTGTTCTTCAAGAAAACAATTCCATCCTGCTCCTTTGAATCCAATAACAATTCGAAAATCAAAAGAACGTTCTTGGAATTAAATTTGTATTACAAAATTATTCTAGTGTATTGCCAGCTTTTTTACAGCGGTAGTAAACCGCAACTTAAAAAAAAAAAAAAAATGTCTCCTGCAAGGTTATGTCATAAAATGCTAATATCAATCAGTCTTCCAGATTCGCAAGCTCTGGCCATCTGACTGGCCGAGCCGCAATGATGTCACTCTCGTGCATGCGTGTGGGAGTCCTGGGCCACGGCACAGTGCTCTGAAGGAACGGCATGAGTATGCACTGGCTCTCAAAAAGAGAGAATATCTCCTAAAGAGTTTACTACCACTTTAAAGGCTAAGTTCACTTTTTTAGGCAGAATTTCACTTTTCATAATAAATAGAATCCTTTTGTGATATAATTTATGGCTCTACAGTCCCAGTGTTCATATCTCTCACTCACCTCATCCACAAAGAGTCAAAATGTCATGTTTCTGTCTTTCAGCTTGCATCACTTCCTGTAGGTTGCATCACAGAAAATGGTGTATATATAGTCTGGGTCACACCTCCCTCATTACTCTACCACCACTTCCTTCTTCCCTTAAGGTTAGCAGGCTCATGTTTGCCATGTGTGTTGTTGCACGACAAACCAAAAGGCCAGGTAAAGAAATGTACCATGCTGCACTCAAAAAAGAGTTCTGGAGCTTCTTTGGAGTGTTTGTCATGTGTCGGGCAGACCATTCGAGTGAATTGGCTGCCCTGTGCATGATCAGCAGAAAAGCTCCAACCCCCCCCCCCCCCCCAAAAAAAGAAGAAAAAACACATACAGAGATGTGAATGAGATCTGAGAACTGAGTGTCTCTGTCCACTCTCTCCTATGTGCATGTATAAAAGTGGACAAATACTATACAATCTGATTGTATCTCTGTACAATTTCCTTTAGATTTACCAAAACTATGGAATAGGAGGAAACAGCTATATATCCATTCACTCTGTATCCAGTCAGGCAGGCCCTTGCACTACATCAGGTGTGTCCAACCTCCAGGCCGCTTGTGGCCCCAGAGAGTTTGTTATGCAGCCTGGGCCCATCTGGAGAGACGCTGGGGAAGCCAGGGAAATGGAGGAATGCTGGGAATGCTGTGCAAACATACTTGATGGTGAAGGGTGTGTGTTTTAATGAGGTCAGCGCAGAATATGTGTGCTAATGAGATCAGCTGGTAAACTCCTTCTGTCTTACTGGCTTCTCTATATCCTAAATCTACATACCTGCAAGTAATGAAGATTTCTAAGAAATACTAGGGCTAAGGTAAGGCCTTCTTCTCAGAATCAAAGAAAGTTTTTTTTTTTTTTTTTTTCGCCACAGCAGTATATTAACCATTAGCCGCCCGGCCAATGGCCGTTTGGCGGCTTCAGAAGTGTCTCTCCCCGTTCCGGGTACATGCCATTTGGCGTGCTCCCACACATGCGCCGTTTGTGCTAATGCAGAGCGGCGCAGCAGTGCGATCTGTCACCGGCCGTGCACCTCGGACACGGCCGATGACAGATCCGAGTACCGGCTCCCATTGCTGGTACCATGTGACCTGCTGTGACCAATCACAGCAGGTCACATGACAGTTGTATACAATGGATGGCTTCATTCATGATGCCATCCATTGTATACTAGTGCCTAGCTGTGAATGGTCACAGCTAATCACATGCACATGTCATGTGATTAGCTGTGACCAAATTACAGCTAAGCACAAAAAAAAAAAAAAAGCTGAATGAATCGATTTCATTCAGGTAAATGCTTGCTTATAGCAAAGTAATTCTTTGCTATAAGCAAATTGTGTTAAAAAAAAAAAAAAGAAATACTGATCACTTCCCCAAAGTAGCACAATGTTACTATGGTAACATTGTACTACTTTGGTCATAGTAAAATATGAAAAAAAAAAAATCTTAAAAAAAATAAAAAAAAATGTAATAAAAAAATTAAATATAATAAAAAAAAAAATATATATATATATATATTTTTTTTTCATACTGTCACCAGTCAGTGTCCCTGTTCACCGCCATGCCAGTTATATGATGACGCTGTACTGCACTGGTGACAGTATGTAAAAAAAAAAAATAGTGAAAATAATTTTTTTTATTTTTTCATTTTCCGAAAAATTATGACAAAAAAATACAACTTCAAAAAACTCGCCATGCCTCTTATGAAGTACGTCGTTTTACTCTGCAAAAAGGGGTCATTTGGGGATATCTGTACTATTCTGACATTCTTGGACCTCAAGAAATTAGATTGGCTGTCAGTACTTCAGGATTGATCAATTTTCAGATATATACCATAGTTTGTGAACTCTATAACTTTCCTACAAACTAAAAAAAAATACATCCTAATTTGGGTTATTTTCACCAAAGACATGTAGTAGAATACATCTCGGCCTAAATTTATGAAGAACAATTATTTATTTGTAAACTTTTATAACAGAAACAAAGAAAAATGTGTTTTTTTTTCAAACTTTTTGGTCTTTTTTTGTTAATTTAGCAAAAAATAAAAACCCCAGCGGTGATTAAATACCACCAAAAGAAAGCTCTAGTTGTGTGAAGAAAATGATAAAATTTTAGTTTGGGTACAGTGTTGTATGACCGCGCAATTGTCATTCAA